AATTAGGATCTAGATTGAAATAGCATATAATATATAATACGCTATATACTGTAATCTCTGTATATGCCGATGACATTAATAACAACTTAATTCTAAACAATGGATGATTAATAGTTCGGTGCCCATGAGAGGAATACATGAGTTACGTCATTGTTCGTTGTGTATTGTCAAGTATAGTGAATACCGATGATATCGCAGTTAAAGCACGTAAGTAGTTGGATTTTCCTAACCGACACCAAATTTTGTTTCGCTTAGCTGTATCGTAATAGGTGAATCATTAGAAATACTCGAGATTTTTATTTTGCATTCATTACGTATATTGATTTCTATCTTCATTTATTTAATTTTTATTTATTTATTTTACGGCTCTATTGAATCATTGCTTTCTTGAATTATGTATCTTCTTTAGCATATCAAATTATTAATTAAATTATTAATTAAGAAGTTTTTTGTAAATAAATTTTTCGATTTTTTATTTAATTTTTATCAAAAATAATTGTCATTATATATATATAAAATTTATAGTATAAACGTATGCTGTTAACATTTTGTAAATGTTTGTATGCCTAATTTATGGTAAAATGTAATAAAATTAATAACAAGTTTACCTTGGCTACATCATGGGCATTCCCCAATTGTTGAAATGCATGATTGGTCTTGTGGACCAGTTAATACGAAATGCAACTTAAAGATTTAGAAAGTTATAAGTCGAAGATAAATTCACATTCAGAAATCAAGTAGCTTCATCATTCGTCATTATGATGACGCAGATGGAAATAACGAAATACTAACGCAAAGTCGAGATCGGGTAGTCATGTATACGAATATCTGTGCTTACGATTAACGACGAGGCCAACACATTATCGTCATAGATAATTGTTTATTTTCTGGTCACTTGCGAGTATACTTGGAACAAGATCGAGCTCCGTTTGATTATTCAATTAATTCTGAGAAACACTATTTTTAATTCACAATTAATGGATTCCCCTTTTCTAAAACAGGGAAATTTATAATTATATAAGAAAGTTATGTATATTATTTGATAATAAATTTAATACATAAAAAAATTCTCATTATCTTATTATTTCATTTACTCTTCTTTTTCAGAAATTACTAAAATTTCTTTATAAGTAATAACATTTTTTTATATTATGTATTTTAAATTTTACTTCGATTAACATACGTATATTTCAACAATTTTATTTTATAAATACAGACGAGTATAACACCATAAAAAAAAAATACTTTTTTTTGTAATATTTTCATAAAATTGGCATAAATAATTTCAGTGTTCAATAATAACATTAGTTAAAAGAAGATATACATATAACGATATATTTTGTTATTAATTGAAGTATGATTTTATAAGTTTTATGATTTTTGAGAGATACGTAAAGAAAGAGAGAGAGAGAGAGAGAGAGAGAGAGAGAGAGAGAGAGAGAGAGAGAGAGAGAGAGAGAGATTTTAATAAGAAGTAGTTGTTAATTCTTCGATGACCAGTCATTGAACCTGACCTTGAAGAACCGGAACGATACAGGTTTCGCAAGATACTTAAAGATAGACTCTACAAAATAGCTTCGAATATATGACTAGTCAAATCGATGACTGTATGGTGTCGATTGATCGACCAAACATCATTAGTTTGCAATAAAACTAGTAAGTATATCTAATAAATGTAAATAATGTGATCACTTAATAATTTTACGACAATTTTGATAAAATATTTGTAAAACCCTTTTAAAAAACTTTTTTTCAAGATTCTAATTTGATAAAAAATATTGTTAAAAACAATAGCATACTTATTTAAACATGACATAGGATCAAAGATTTAATTTGAATTTTAAAAGATTAAATATTTTACAGAAAGGCTTGACTAAATATTATATTTGAATTTTATATATAAAGTATACGATATAACTATATAAAATATATTAAATTGAAAGAAACTTGAATTTATCTTTCTTTCTCGTCTTAAAATTATACTTTTTCCTTGACCTAATATAAATTCTCATCGTCGAAGCTATTAAAATTTGTACGTCAGATCGAAGGAGAGTGTGTTTCGAGGACTACAATTTTTATTTTCTTTATTTCAAAATATCAGTCCGTTGTCGCCATACATTCATTGGTTTTCCCCTGCGTAATAATTGACTTTTTATATTTTTAAATATCTTTATTTCTTGTATTGTTATTCTAATAATAATTATTAAGTTTGATCTTTACGAACATTTAACAAATAATATAAAATATAAAAAAAATATTAATATTAATTGGTAATATTATCAATTCTGTTAACTTTTTTCGATTACGGTTACATATATATAATTTATAAAATTTTTTTAAATGCATGGATGAACGTAGACGTGTTTCTACTCATAGATATTAGTTGCAATCGGTTAGCATTTATGCTAATTTTATAGAAAGATAGAGAGAAAAACAATAATTTTTCATGCGTTTGATTATCGCTTGTCCATATTTATGAGCCAAATTTTTTCTAAATTCTTTTTGTGCTGCATCTTCGAAATACTTTTTTTTAGAAGAATCAACGTAATAAATAATAATTTATAAAAGACATTATATCGGATTTAAACAAGATGTATTTAAATTAAGATGTATTTAAATTAAAATTATGTTTTATAAATTTTGGCATGATGTAATTATATAAGTGCAGCTTATATTAATTTTCTCTTACATATTTAACAAAATAATTGAAATAATTGAAATAATTGAATGTCTAAAAAAGTGCTACAGAAAAGTACATGTGTTTTACTTGATTTCACATATATTGTTTAAAATAAAAACAATAAAATAAAAAAATGTTTTTAATTATTTATCTTTGATTATCGTAATCATCAATAAAAAAGAAGATAGAATTCAATGAAAATCATGCACGTGCACGCGAGATGTCATTTTAATTGGTTAAATTGCAAATAACTTTGCCACATCGTTAAGGCTATTTGGGAATCAATATTTTTCTTGTATTAAATTTATGCTTATATAAGATTCAAGAGCTGAGAATAATATATCTTTGTTCTGTCAGAAATGAAACATTCCTGCTTAAAAATATCTGTAATTATTTTTTTAGATAAGTAACTTTTAAATTGACCATAAAAGAAAATTGACTTAAATAAATCTAATAACTTGTTCTATTATATTGCTTCTCTCAATCCTTTCTTGCTTTCTATTCTCTTTCTTCTTTTTCTTCTTCTTCTTTTATACTTTTTCGAAAGTATTTTATTCATACACATTAATTTTTTTTATTAAAATTAATATAAAATCACAAAAACTTCTTATTAGATTGTTTCTGTTTAATCATTTTTGAATAGACAGAAAAGAATAATCCGAGATTGAAAATATGTTAAATATTTCGTCGAAATAAGCGGTCTTTAATAACTGATTCTGTGAATGACAATACAGTAGCAAAATTTTTGTTATTTAATTAGTTTTTTTACCGATCATTTCCAAAATCATAGATACTTAATATAAAGATTATATCTAACTCTAAAATTGTACTAGTTACTGATGTAAAAATATGAGACTCTCAAAACGTAATGTTTCTTGAGATCGGCGTCAATTTCATGGAAATGAAAAATAATAGAAAATCCTAACGGAGGCACTCGATAATACTGAAGAACGTAATGGGAGAGAAAGAGAGGGATCAATTATTATCCGACGTAAAATCCACGCGTGTGTCGTATATAAGATGTTGTCCTCGTGTGAGAGTTTCAGTCGCTCTTGATTCTCTGACCATCGAGATATCGGTAAAACAGACAAAACAAGGAGGATTACTGTGTGTGATAGGCAAATTATTTATTTGCGAAAGTGGAAACCATCATGAAGTTATTTAGGTGTTTAGTGCCAGTAGTGGTGCTGCTATTGATTAAGAATTCCTCCGCGAGACCTGGTGAGTTTTAAATTATAGGGAAGTTTTTTCCCTTTTCATTTATGACTAATTGAAAGGAATATTATTGCGCGTCAGATTGGTTTCCAGATATTTATGTAATGATGACATAATGTCTAATTTGAGAGAATTATACCCATTAAAATGGTTTCTGTTTCTTTCAAAATTAAAAAAATAAAAAAATAAATTTAAAAAATTAATTTACTATCAATTTTTTCCTGTAAACTTACACATTATTAACCTTATGAGATATCTAATAAATTTTTTAAAAGAATTAATAGATATGTGTGTGAAAGAGAAGAAATTACGAAATATAAAAAAAAGTCGTAAATAATATTATCATTCAGTACTTTTGATAACTTTATAATATTTTATTTGTGAAGGTGTGTTAGGCGATTTGATCGGTGAGAACGTTGGTAGATTGCTGGACCCATTGGGAGTATTCAGGCCTAAAAATAACAATGCCCACGCCAGCAGCAATGCTCAGACATTGGGAGGAAACCTGAATTTCGGACCTATCGGTATCGGTGGTGGATACTCTTCAGCTTCGGCTGATGCATCGGCGAATAGCGGCGGTGGCTTAGCTTCGGCTTCAGCCAAAGCTGATGCTCATGCTAATGGATATGGAGGATACGGTGGTTCGAACGCAAATGCGCAAGCATCTGCTAATGCTAATGCACAAGGTGGGTTCGCATACCTGGTATACATAAAACATATTTCTATAGTTTTAAAACTTCTTTTAAAATATGAGATATATAAAATATTATGACGATTAAAATAACTCGAACAATAACCAAAGTTTACAGAAAATTCTAAAATTTTGAATGTTGTGGAACATTGTGAACATTTTCGAATACTTTGAAACATGTCTCCAATGTTTTAGTCATATTAAAATATTTTTTATTTAAGAGTATAAAATATATACATATATATATATACA